TGGATATGGATTTAATACGTTAAAGATAGAGATTTGGGGCTCATTAACACACTTTCCCTTGCATAAATGTGCTACTTAACTCTACCTCTCGGTATTTTCTACAACTTTTCTTTGGTTTGGGGTTTTTGGGAATTAGTTGTTATTCTGGTAGATAAATTACTTCTAATTTCGTGTTAGAAACATGTCTACTTCTTACTGCAGAGTGGCTGCTTGAAATTTAATTGGGCAACACAAAGCAGCTATTAGCATCATATGCGTTCAAAATATGGAAGCAGAAACTGTACATAGAAAGGGATTTTTAGGACGCAGGTTTGTAAGTTTTTGTTCTTGCTTAAAGCATTATATATGTACGTGACAACAGTTTGTATGACTTTTGACATCCGTTTTGCAGTGCAATGGTTAATAAACCGAATGAAACCATGAGGATTATTGTTACAGTTTTTGTCGGCATCATCTTTGGCTTCTTTATAGGAAAGTCATTTCCAGCACTTCCATTACTGAAGGTATGGTTGAATATTTTGATTTTTATTCATCCCTGCTGATTTCTAGTCTTTGTTATAATTTATTCTTTCTTTCCAATTTGCAGCTAAATATCACTTCCACTCTTATTCATGATTTTTCGGTCGCTGGGAACAAAAGTACAGGTGGCTCAACCCAAAGTATAGATGCTAGTTCTTCTTCCAATAACAATAGAAGCAACTCAACTGAAAATCAAAATGTTAATGATTCATCAAAGGTAATATTTCTTGTTAATAAGGCATAATTGGAAGTCTACGCAGTGTTCAAACATTACATAGAATAATTTCTGTACGCTGCTGCTATGAAACAATATGTCATTAACCACACCGTATTTTACTTTGGCATAGCCATAAAACTCAAACGGAGAAACACATCTTGGATTTCTAGTCATATATATATATTTTATTTCTCTGTGCATGTGTAATCATATGTTAACTAGATATAGATGATAAAATTTGGCAACCTAATTTCTTTTGGATACTAAGCCTATTTGTGTCTATTATTACCTTATTTTCTATTCTGATTCAGATTTGGGTCCCATCAAACCCTAAAGGAGCAGAAAGATTGCCTCCAGGGATTGTTGCATCTGAATCAGACTTTTACCTCCGCAGATTGTGGGGTGAACCTAGTGAGGTAAGAATTCTGTTCAAAACATAGTTTAAAATGCATAATACTTGGTTTTTTCTTACACCTTAAGAGTATCTACACTTTTATATTGAAACACGGTTTGGTTCGTAATAAACAAGTTGTTAAGATTGAACTGAGTGGATTTTGCGAGTTAAAGAAGGAAATAACTTCTAGCAAAATCCATCATCCTAACGTAAAGCTAAATATATACAAATGTGGTATTGTAATCTTTTCTTTAAATTTGTTGTCTGATCATTTCGACATTACTCAGGATTTGATCAGCAAACCAAAATATCTGGTAACCTTTACCGTTGGTTATGATCAAAGGAACAACATAGATGCAGCAGTGAAAAAGGTCAGCAAATCTTCTTGTACAACCCCCACCCCACCCGTCCCACCCAATGCTAATGCTATCTCTTTCTCTAAGCATGTTCTTTCTACAGTTTTCAGAGAACTTTACTATTGTTTTGTTTCATTATGATGGCCGAGCATCTGAATGGGATGAGTTTGAGTGGTCATATCGGGCTATTCACGTGAGTGCCAAAAAACAAACAAAATGGTAAGAAACTGTTCACAAAATTTTATGATTATTGCAATGATTTTGATTACCCCATAATCAATTCTTACATTCGAAATTTCATATTTTATAAAAGGTGGTATGCTAAAAGGTTTCTACATCCTGACATTGTTGCTCCATATGACTTCATATTTATTTGGGATGAAGACCTTGGAGTTGAGCATTTTGATGCCGAAGAGTAAGCATCTAATCGACCAATTTCCTTTTTGACCAAAGACTTAATTAGCTAACCCATGTTGCACATCTTTCTTCGCCCTTACACGTTCCAGATTCATCAAACTTGTGAGGAAACATGGGTTAGAAATTTCGCAGCCTGGTTTGGAGCCCAGTCGAGGATTGACTTGGCAGATGACAAAGAGAAGAGATCATCATGAAGTTCACAAGTAAGAAATAAAAAACTAAACAAAAGAACAACTAAAATTTTATTCAGGTTTATGCTTATGTTGAGTGAAATGATTTTTGCAATGGATTCTCATTCTTTCTTCTGAATATAGGCAAACGGAGGAGAAACCTGGCTGGTGCTCTGACCCACGTTTGCCTCCCTGTTCAGCGTGCGTACTGTTCTCTGTTTATTATTATTTTTTTTCCTTCTTTTTACCAAACAACTGTTCGACTTTCCAATTGTTCTGATTGCATCTGCGTAATTCTGGGACACAATTTATTTCATTTCATCTACACAGATTTATAGAAATCATGGCTCCTGTCTTTTCTCGAGAGGCATGGCGTTGTGTATGGCATATGATACAGGTTAATTGTGGTTTCCTTTTCATTCACTCTTGGATCTTTAAAGTCTTCAAATATATGGTTTAATTATCTTGATCTGGGAATTGTAGAATGACTTGGTTCACGGTTGGGGTCTCGACTTTGCCCTCCAAAAATGTGTTGAGGTGTGTCATGCTTGTCCCCTTCGAAATCCACTTCTCGACTCTGGGATATATAGATAATTTTTAGTCTGTCTGTTCTGCTATATTGGCTGATAACTGTGTGGCCGTCTCTATTTTAGCCCGCTCATGAGAAAATTGGAGTTGTAGATGCTCAATGGATTGTTCATCAAAGTGTCCCTTCACTTGGGAACCAGGTAAAACTTGAAATTGGTAAACACTTGCCTGTCGTAATTTATACACGTTATATAAATTTTTACATATACTGAACCTAACAGAGTGGCAAAAAACCCGACCCCAAATTTGTCAAGAACAGGACTTTGATTGACGTTATCGTTCTTGTATATGCATATATGCATTTTACACGTATCAAGATATAATACCATCTTCGATGTTTTGATAGGGGCAAGCAGATCATGGAAAGGCTCCGTGGCAAGGGGTACGTAGTTTTGACATACAACTTGCACTGCTAATTTATGTGCTGACCTCCACACATAAGAATTTGCTTTCACCATCATCTTCTGCTACCAAACTTTTAGGACACAATCAGTATACAATATTGGATAGAACTTGACGCTAAAATAGTAAAGGATTTAACTTTTTTTTTTTTCCTTCTTTATATGGTCCAGTGCTGTATCTATTATGTATTTATATTAACTAGAGTTTTGCTCGTTGGTTCCAGGTGCGCGAGAGGTGTAGACGAGAGTGGAAAATGTTCCAGACTAGGATGGCTGATGCAGAAAAATCTTATTACAAGGCAATGGGAATTGATCCTCCCAAGTTCACATTTCACCATTAGATAGTACCATTAAGCATAGGGTCTAACCTCTAGATTTGAATCTAATTTTTGTTGCTATAGATAAAACATTTTTCAGGATATTGTCATATAAGCTTCAATGAATTAGTAATACATTTTGATTTGTCTTTCCATTGCTCATATCGAGTTGATTTAGGGCATTTTTGGTAGGTTTTCTTTTTATGTTTCTAATTCTTGTAGGAAAGTTCTTTAGGGTGCATTTGATTGGAATCATGAAATTTGTATGGAAAGAAAATAAATTCTAGTCAATTCAATTGTGTAGAACTTATTTGTATAGAAATTATTAATTACATAAAAATATTATACTTGTCCATTTTTTATTGGTGGATAGACGAGAGGGGGAGAGAATTACTTGGAAAATAAAAATCACTAATTCCCAAAGAATTTTTTTTTTTTTTTTGTTTTTGAGGAAAATATGATTACATAATCAAAAGTTGAAAACTATTTTTCATTAAAAAAAATTGTTAATCAAACATCCCAAAAGTAAGAATTTTGGTAGAAAAATGATATTTTTTATGAACAATTAAGTCAATCAAACACACTTTAAGAAAGTTACATTTTGTCAATTTCCATTAAAAATTCATCTAGTTAGATAAAGAACTTTGTAAAATTATCTAAGCAAGTTCAAAAAAATTGCTTCTTAATTTCATAATTAACTTTTAATTTTTCGAAAACTCTACTGGATGGACTCATAGGTATGTTGGATTGACATGCGGGCAGGGATGTAAACAAACTCTTGGTGTATATGAAGCACAAGAATATAACTTAGGTAATCAAAATCAATTTTCGGTAATGATTCTTAGTCCCTGTTTGGTTTTAGATAAAAATCAGAGTTTTAGTATGCTCCTGTTTAGTGGAGATTAAAATTAGATTTTTAGTAGATTTTGATAAAAATTAAAGAAATATATGATTAAAAAAGTTGTGGGTTCCACGAAATATGTGATTAAAATTAATTATTGAGTTGATTTAAATTAAGATTTAGATTTTAATCCCTACCTAACAAGGGCTATATATTCTGATAAAATTGATGAAGCGTGTGATCCAAAAGTCGTGAATCTCCAAAAAAATATATGGTTAAATTAAGAAGTTGACTTAATTTTAATCTACAATTTTAATGGAACCAAACATGGACTTAGTGGTCCTTCATTTGTTTCTTCGCATCACAATCCAGGACCATACGCGGTGAGGGAGATTTAATTACATTAATCTTCAATCATGGACGGTACGCGGTTCCAAAATTCAAGAAACTTCCACTGGAAATATGGCACAATCCTATTGGCGAACACAAAAATCGTTGTGGACACGTGGCCAAATAATTATTACCCTGTCTCTCTATTTTTTTCAGTGAAAAGTCCCTGATTTTAACCCCAAGCACAGGAACCTTACACGTGTTGCAACGTGTCAACAATATCCCATGGGTTTATTTATAAGCAACCTCAAGCTTGACCTCTTTTGTGGAACCAAATTTCTTGCTTCTCTACAATATACTCTTCTTCCAAATATTCACTAAAATTTAGATTTTATTTCAGATTTCGTAAGTCGAGATTCGGGCTTAATCCGTAGTACGGCGTAAATAAACATGGGACTCTCGAGTTTTCCTAGCCCAGCTGAAGGTGTGATACCTTTACTAGTAATGAACGCAGCTATGTATGTGGCTTTAGTAAAGAATTTGCTGAGAACTTTGCTCCAAGTGGTGGGTGCTAATGGCGGGGGTGAGGCGGAGCAAGTTTTGGACGAAGAGGCTTCAAGAACCAGAAGAGTGTCGATAACCCGGTATGATTCTCTATGCAGAAACAGAGGTGGTGGTGGAAGGCGGCCCTGCCGTGATGATGGTGGTTGCGTCACCAGTGGCAGTGTTGGCAATATGTGGCCTACAGTGGAGTGTTGCGTGTGTCTATGTAGATTTGAAGGTGATGAAGAAGTGAGTGTACTTTCTTGCAAGCATTTCTTCCATAAGGGGTGTTTGGAGAAGTGGTTTGATAATCAACACACAACTTGTCCTCTTTGTAGATCCACCATATAAGTATGAAGAATTGTGTGGATAGAATAGTTTAGATTTGTTGGCATATTTGGTACGTTGAACTGGACTCGACTTGACCTTAGTGGATAAAATGATTTTGTATTTTTATTTATATTTTTTTTTCATTATGTTGGGAGTCTTGTCGAGGTCGAAATTCCAAACATGTTTGTAGTTCGTAATGAGTTGAAAGTGTAGAAGTAGAGTGTAAAAGTTTTCGTGATTTAATACGTGGCTAGATAATAGACATTCAGTAGATGAATAGTATATTGTAAAGAAATAAGTGTGTGTCTGCTTTTAATTTTCAGTTTTTGTAGCAAGTGAATCTTGAAAAAATTACAGCATCAGTTTCCAGTGTTGACACGCATAAGAGTTAAAGACTGTTAGTCGAAATTCCACTATAGAAATCCACTTGCTTTAAGGACTCGTCTAAAGAAAATTTGAAGTACTTGATTATAAGCAGCATACTAATAGAGTATATGATAATTATTCATTAATGTTTATAATATATAGTGTTTGCTGTTGAAGCAACACCAGTGTACAGGAGGTTTTTCAAGTGTTATTTAAAGATAGGTGCAGAATTTCAGCTACATATTTCATAAACATAACAATCTTTAATCATCAATTCCCTTGGACATCCAGTACTGCTCGCCCTTCTGCTCATTGTAGTAGGGGCGGAGATTGCAATCATCATTCACCACCACAGGCAGCGTATGTGGCGCCCTGTGATGATGACCACCATTTCTACCACCACCACCCTTCTTTGAGTGATGCATATCATTTGAGTTCTCATACTTAGAACCTCCATCATGCATATTGCCCCCATGGCTAGGCTGGTACATTTTCCCGCTGTCATGGTGCTGCTGCTGCTCTTTGTTGTTAAGCCAACCGCCTCCATGGCTTGGCTTGTCCATTTTCCAGCTGTCATGGTGGTGCTGCTGCTCTTTGTCACTAGACCAGCCGCCCCCATGGCTAGGCTTGTCCATTTTCCAGCTATCATGGTGGTGCCGCTGCTCTCTGTCACTAGACCAGCCGCCCCCATGGCTAGGCTTGTCCATTCTCCAGCTTTCATGGTGGTGCTGCTCTCTGTCACTAGACCAGCTGCCCCCATGGCTAGGCTTGTCCATTTTCCAGCTGTCACGGTGTTGATCTTTGTCAAAGCCGCCATGATAAGGCAGGGCATGGTGGTTGTGTGGCGGAGTCGGCATCATCTGCACACTTGAACCACTATCATAAAAAACGTCACCCTTCATGAAATTATCCTCCTCAACATACACATAGGACTCCTGTTTGTAGCCATACGCTGGGTATGCTTGCATTTTCGATCCTTTTTTGTTATCTTTTTTCTTGAAGTTGATTTGTACTGCTTGGAGATTTTGAGTTCATATTTATAGTGCTTCACAAAGATTCCAGACTGCTAAGGATAAATTGATGCTCATTCATGAAGCATATTTTGGTGGTGATTTTACACTAGAGGCTAAAAAGTTCTCACCACTTTATTCCCAATTCCTTATCGACAAAATTCGATAATTCTGGAAAGAATTGGACATCGACAGATCATGGAACACCATACCATTACCAAAACATTCATTGTGATTCCGGGGCCAATGTCGTTGTGTTGGGCAACTTCTGAGTTTGCACATTTGTGTTGCTAAATTTCTGATCTCTACTTTCAGAGTTTCTTATAGATCATAAATGCTTAATCCTTGAAATGAGGCGTATGATTTTGTCTGTAGCCATGAAGATATAAATTGTTTTCTTTCATCTTAGAGTCTAATAGTTATTGGCATTTGATTACTCGTTACTTGCAGCATGGTTAATGAGTATTCGAAGTGATATATTGACGACTTACGTTGAACTGAATATTAATTGATTCGTGTTTTATGTCTCTCATATGGTCATAAGTTATTTGACCTTTAATTATTTACTGTGTGTTATGCTTGAAATGTTATCTTTGCGACTAGTACTCGATACAACTTAAGATTTGTAAGAGGTAGTCAAATAGAAAATGAGAGAGATTAAATGTCTAAAATCTTAACACATCTTGACATACATGCATAATACATTTTAACAGCACAATTATTGTACACAGAAAAGGACGAGAGATGAACTCAAAACCGTTGAAATGCAGCCCGATTGATCAACATGAAGTTGATTCCTTAAGTGATGTCGATAGCCACAAGCGAAGTTCGTCTGCACATAGGACTCGACTGCACACTGGACAAGATTTGAAGTTCGTCTTTTCATTTAACACCGTCCAGAATTTGTGAATTTCGTCAACAAGGAGTTGGGAATAAAGTGGTGAGTATCTCTTGGCCCACTGTAAATGCCGAATCACCATCAAAATATGCTGCATAATGAGCATCCAATTATCCACACAACCAACACGCCCCCTCATCATGGCGGCTATTACGAGGGTATGAAGCATTGAAAGGAAAGTTACCGTCCTAGCAAAAAAGAGAAGCATCACCACCTTGACAGTTGGAAAATGGACAATCCTAAAGACAAAGATCAGCAGCACCACCACAGCTGGAAAATGGACAAGCTTAGCCTACCGACATGGACATGAGTCCAACAGGCAACACCACACGCGATTCTTTAAAAAAGTACGGACAAGACACATTGCCAACAAGTTAATTAAATTCTTTAATTTCTTCATTTATATATTATAACTTAGTTTTATACTTTTTATTAATTTTTTTTATTAAAATCTGCTAAATATGAGTACCTATTTGTTATGTTATTTAAAAATAACTTTGAATCAAAAATATCTAACATATCTCATAAAGAAAGAAAAAATACCATTGTAGAGTGTCCTAGGAGTGCTGTTACTCAAGAAGGTCACGGATATACTACTCTAATTGAAGTGTCCATGCAACACTGAGCCTAACCATGGGGGCAAGAAGCATGATGGAGGTTATAAGTACGAGAACTCGGACGACATGCATCACTTAAAGATCGGTGGTGGTGGAAATGGAGGTCATCATCACCAGCCGCTACATTTGCTGCCCCGTGTGCTGTATGAACTGGTGAAGCATTACGGGGATGCTTGTGAGCACGAGCGCCACCCGATGAGAACTACTGTAATTTCAAGGGAATTTATGATCAAAAGACTGATTTATTTATGGAATTTATAGCAGAAATTATGCACTCTTCTTAAATAACACTGAAAGCATACTGGAGTTCAGCATCAAACTCTATATATTAGATATTTTGTAGTTTGTGCGATTAAGGTTAGCTTTGAACCCTGTAATCAAAGGTCATATACGGCATATTCGTCGTGCTTGACTAAATATGATTGAGAAAGAGACTTGTCATATTTATTTCAATACGGCGTACCGAACATGTTGTTAATGTTTCATAGAGAACCTTAAAAGTTAAATAAATGTTGGACGTAGTTATTATAGCTGAAAGAATATTTAAAGGAATAAAGTAGAGAGAATCTCGACTCACTGTAAATGGCTGATGACCAACAAATGTGCTGCATTTGAGCAAAATTTCTTCACTATGAAATTGGAAACCTAATTTGATTCTACAAGTAGAAATTTGATATCTCGAAGCAATGAAAATTAACTTGGAAAACACCAAGAAGAGAAAGCATGATGGTATTGTAGGAGATATTACACCGATAATGTGCATATTATATTCATCAAGAGCATGCCGTTAATATGCGTGAAATCAAAACATCATTCGACTTACCGAAATCTGATTTGAGAAGATAAA